ACTATCGGAAATGCTGGCTCTGGGCTATAGTCCTCATTTTGCCCCAGTAAAACTTAACCCGCAACTGTGCATTTTTGATTAGCCCAGCCTGCTGGCAGGGAGTGTGACTGTGGGGTTGGCTGAGAACCTGGGGTCATGGTAGTGAGGGTCCCCCAGAGCAGTGTGACCCGAAGGGCACATCAGGAAGGTTGTCCTGTGGCTGATTTGGGGAGAACTTGGGGGAGCAGCAGCAGAAAAGCCCAGATAAGAAGCTGTCGGTTGACCGACACCCACAAAACAAGGTCACAGAGCAGGGCTGGGGGCGGCCCCCCGCCTTCCCCCGGCTCCTCCAGCACAAAGCCCTCAGCCTGTCTGATGAGGAGTCAGAGGGACGGGAGAAGAAGATGCTTAGCCAAGGCCCCAGGGAGGCGGCTGGGGGTGCCTGCCCGGAAATACCGCCGGTCCGGCATTCACAACTGTGTTTTGTGCACACACACACACACACACAGAACCTGGAACTATGCTTCCAGAGATGTGCTTTCTATAGGGCCAAGAACAGAGTACGGGGTTTCAGAGCGGGCTGACAGTTTTGGGAAAAGGCACCGACCCGAGCACGGGGTAGTCTGCAGGGTGACGAGTCACCTTATCACGGGGTCTCGGTATATTGTGCGATTTAAACCTGAAAGGGTTGTGGTCGCATGAAGATCAGAAAATCACAAACTCTGCACACTCTGGGTGCCGGATTGTGACGACTGAAGCCACGGGCTTGCCACACTCTGGGTGCCGGACTGTGACGATTGAAGCCACGGGCTTGTCACACTCTGGGTGCCGGATTGTGACGACTGAAGCCACGGGCTTGTCACACTCTGGGTGCCGGATTGTGACGACTGAAGCCACGGGCTTGTACCCTTCAGGTGTCGCGAGTTTACTGCTGCTTCTCATACTTTGTCACCTACAGCATCCAGCACACGAGGATTTGTAAAACCCTAAATCTCCAAAGGAGAGGTTGGAGCTTCTCGGCCTCATTTTTCCTGATTGTAGTCCAACAGTTTGCAGCCCCTGAGGTGCAGTGTCAGTGGTTGAATACAAGCAGCTTTAACAACGATCCCAGCGACAGCTCTGGGTCAGTGCTGGGGCTGAGGCCTGCTCCCGCCAGGATGCCCTGGGAGGTGGGACTGTTGTCAGGAACAAGGGGACCTCCCGCCACCTCTGCCCGCTCCCCTGTCGTCAGTAAAGCTTTAGAGAGGAGAAGTGGCAAGCTCTTTTCCTTCCGTCTACCAAAGAGCACACTTCTGTATAAAAGATGCCCTAAATCCTTTGTGAGGTACACAAGCCGAGTGCGCCTCTCAGAAAGCTCGAAGGCCGGTGATGCAAACAGGTGACGGAGACGCACACTGTCCTTGGCCTCTGCTGAGTCTCATCCCCGTTTCCAAGAATAAACGCATTAATCTGTAAACTTTCAGCAGGGCCTGCGTCAGGTAGGACGGCTACCTGGAGCAGCGGCCACCTCCCTGACGCCTGTGTCAGTGGGTCAGGCTGAGGCTCAGGACCAAAGGAAAAGCTTTCCATAAAGAGGAGACGCTCACCGTCCTCAAGACTGAAGACAGGCAGATTGGGGTGAAGAGAGAAGGGAGCCCCAGTGATGTGTCAACTGCAGCTCGGCCAGAGGGGCACTGGCTGCCTCTTTCCAGGCCAGGCCTGCTCAGAGCCCAGCACGCACGCCCAGGGCCCCCCACTTCTGGGCCGGGTCTGCGGGACTGCTTGTGCAGACACAGAAGCGCTCAGATGCTCGTCAGGGAATGGGAGTGGTGGAATAAACCCAGCACATGTGCCATGGAGAATCGTGCAGCTGTTAGGGGTAAACCACGTCTGTGTGCACAGGCCAGACCCACATACGTCTATCCCAATGGAAAGGCCAGTTGCAGAAATGTCTGTACAATATGACCCACTCTCCATGAAGGCAGACTGGGAGAGGAGAGAAGTTTGCATGGACCCAGAAGAAAATGTCGGGGAAACACCACGCACTCATGATGGTAATATTGACTTCCCGAGTGGTGAGAGGCAGGTGGCGGATGGACTTCAGAGCTTTTTCACTTTTTATCTAATATCTGCCTCTAATGTTTGAGCTTTGGTAACTCCTCTGAATAGCTTCTCTAGCCTGAAAACAGCACCACTGGAAAAAACTGCCGTTCTTGATAAGAGAGGAAGGGTCTGGCTATTTCCGTCTGTAGAGGTGGCGTCTTCTGCAAAGCAGCCCCTGGGCACACACCCATCACCACGTTGTGTGTTCACTTCTCTTCCCCAAGTCTGGAACAGACCTGATCCAAGTCCTCACGAAGCTCTTTCCAGCAGCAGACAGCTGACAGAGTCCTGTCACCCGGAGCCTGGGGCTCCTAGAAACCACCAGAGGCTGGTTTCCGCTCTTTTCTAAGTCATCTATGGCTCAGCCTCTGGAGAACGCATGGTGTGATGCCTTGGCAGTGTGCGATATCCCCCTCGGAATGAGGCAGTCTGACTCAGCATGGGGTTCACCAGAAATAGATTTTATCTGTCGGTGGCACAAATGCCACGGTTAGGAGTTTGCTCCCAGAAGGCATGCACACACACATACACACGAGAGCACGTGTGCGCTTAGCCCTGTCCTGGTGAGCAGGTTCCCAGATTCCGTGGAGCAGGAGTGTGTGTTGGGGCCTCCAGGAGTGCTGGGAGCCCCTGTATGGACCCGCCACTGACAAGGCCTCTAAGGAGCAGTCCCAACCGGTGCCAGTGCCCAGGAGGCGACGGCATCCAGAGGCCCCGAGCTGCCGCCCGCCCGCCCCCAATGGCCCACCCTCTGCCCGAGTTCCTCTTCACAGGCGGGAGGCTTCCTGCGAACGTCCTCAGTACGCTGATGCTGTCAGAGTCAGCCAGCAAACAGACACAAAATGGGTTTTATTCAAGTGGTCTCGCGCGGCGGCTGGGGCACATTCCACGCGCACACATTTACAGCACTTTGCAGCGACATATCGGGCGCTTTGGTCACCTCTGTCCTGCTATCGGGGAGTGACAGGCAGTCTCCCCTCTGCTCCCATCGGGCTGGACCACCAGGCGCTGGCAGCCGACAGACCCCCAGGTGCGCAGCCAGCACCCGCGCCAGACGGCGGCCAGAGACACTGGGCCGGCTCTCCGGGCGCACTGGGCATGCGCTCGCTCGCTGAGCTGGGGCTCCGCTGCTGGGCCCCCCGTGGCTGTCCTACGCTCTTGGGCCAGGCTCCCCTCACCGGGGACACCCCCCAGAGGGACCATGCCGGGTGACAAGCCTCCCAGTCGTGCCCCGGCCGTCCGGCCCACTCCTCAGCCCAGCCCTGCCCCCTGGCCCCGCTGCCCAGCGCTGGCCGTCCTGACGACAGGCACCCACGCTCAGCTCCGTGACGCCCCGAGAGGAAGGCTCCACGGCCTCGTTGGTACGGGGGGTGCCGGCGTCACGGAGCGGCCGCAGAACTGAGCGCAGTAGCAGAGGCGAGAGTCTGGATGTGGTGCGAGCAGGCGGGGCCCTGGGTGCCCAGGGGTGCGGAGGCGAGGGGCCCTGCTGCGCGTGCGGGAGGCTCCGTGGAGGCCCTCGGGGGAGGTCCACGTGTCCCGCGCACCACGGGCTGGACGGTCCCGTGACTGGGGGTGGGAGAGCAGTGGTGCAGGTCATTCAGAAGCGGTGACCACATCCCCGAGGGCCAGCGCCCCAGCCCAGGCCTGCGCCCCAAGAACTGGTGCTAAGATTAGAAAACCCCTTCTTTCTTCCACAGTCGCTGACACCAAGTCCTGGGTTCCACCACCTCGGTCTTTCCTAGTCTCTTTGAAAATGGGTTCATCTGCATGACCAAACAATATGAACAACAAAGCGCCTGACTGCTGGACTTTGACAATCATGAGCTTTAAGTCCCAGGAGGTTTTGAGGTCACCCAGTCCCCCCGAGGATCAGCCAGGCCCGGCTCTGGGTGGCCAGGGCCGAGTCCGCTTGGGGCCCCCTCGCGGGGGCCAGGGCCACACTGGGTCCCCTAGATGACCGAGGTCTCCGTCTGCAGGAGGGAAGGGGCGCGGGAGCCCTGCAGGGCGCCGTCTGAGCCGGTCCTGGAGATGGACAGGCTGTGCAGCCGGCGGTCCCGGGCGGAGGGCCGGCTGGGCCACAGGCCACGCCACGTGCGTCTCAGCTCACTCTGCACCTGGAGCGGGGCACGGCCGCACGGGCTGAGCGGGCGGGAGCTGGGGGGCCCCGGCCCCAGAGCAAATCTCCCCCCGTGGCCCCCTTCTGGGTGCGGAAGCTGTGATACCCGTGGCCGGGGTCAGGCAGGCTTGGGCACCAGGAGAGGACGGGGACGTGGGAGGCGCCAAGGGAAGAGGGCTCCTCCCAGGAGCCGGGAGGCGGCAGAGACGCTCAGGAGGGCTGAGCTGAGACCTGGGGGAGCCAGCAGCGGCAGTGACCCCGGCTGAGTGACCCCTGGAAGGTAGACCTGCTCCAGATCTTTTGAGGTGAAGTTGCTCAGCTGTGTCCAACTCTTCTGTGACCCCATGGATTGTAGCCCACCAGGCTCCTCCATCCATGGATTTCCCAGGCAAGAGTACTGGAGTGGGTTGCCATGTCCTTCTCCAGGGGATCTTCCTAACCCAAGGATTGAACCCAAGTCTCCCGCATTGCAGGTGGATTCTTTACTGTCTGAGCCCCCAGGGAAGCAGGTCCTCTAGGGGTGTTTTAAGGAAGCCCCCACGAGCCAGGAGCCTGTGCTCCCCTGGGAGGCCAGAGGACTCACCTCGCTGTTCAGGAAGCAGTAGAGAACCGCCACACTCTTTGAAAATGGGTTCATCTGCATGACCAAACAATATGAACAACAAAGCGCCTGACTGCTGGACTTTGACAATCATGAGCTTTAAGTCCCAGGCGGTTTTGAGGTCACCCAGTCCCCCCGAGGATCAGCCAGGCCCGGCTCTGGGTGGCCAGGGCCGAGTCCGCTTGGGCCCCCCTTGCGGGGGCCAGGGCCACACTGGGTCCCCTAGATGACCGAGGTCTCCGTCTGCAGGAGGGAAGGGGCGCGGGAGCCCTGCAGGGCGCCGTCCGAGCCAGTCCTGGAGATGGACAGGCTGTGCAGCCGGCGGTCCCGGGCGGAGGGCCGGCTGGGCCACAGGCCACGCCACGTGCGTCTCAGCTCGCTCTGCACCTGGAGCGGGGCACGGCCGCACGGGCTCAGCGGGCGGGAGCTGGGGGGCCCCGGCCCTGGAGCAAATCTCCCCCCGTGGCCCCCTTCTGGGTGCGGAAGCTGTGATACCTGTGGCCGGGGTCAGGCAGGCTTGGGCACCAGGAGAGGACGGGGACGTGGGAGGCGCCAAGGGAAGAGGGCTCCTCCTGGGAGCCGGCGGAGATGCTCAGGAGGGCTGAGCTGGGACCTGGGGGAGCCGGCAGCGGCAGTGACCCTGGCCGAGTGACCCCCAGAAGGTAGACCTGCTCCAGATCTTTTGAGATGAAGTTGCTCAGCTGTGTCCAACTCTTCTGTGACCCCATGGATTGTAGCCCCCCAGGCTCCTCCGTCCATGGATTTCCCAGGCAAGAGTACTGGAGTGGGTTGCCATGTCCTTCTCCAGGGGATCTTCCTAACCCAAGGATTGAACCCAAGTCTCCTGCATTGCAGGTGGATTCTTTACTGTCTGAGCCCCCAGGGAAGCAGGTCCTCTAGGGGTGTTTTAAGGAAGCCCCCACGAGCCGGGAGCCTGCGCTCCCCCGGGAGGCCAGAGGACTCACCTCGCTGTTCAGGAAGCAGTAGAGAACCGCCACCACCAGGCCCTGAAAGGGAGACGATGCTGGTCAGAGGCCCCCCGCGCCCCGACCCCGCACGCCCGGGACGCACGGCCCGGCCCGCCGCACCTGAAAGGATCCGAGGCACAGCTCAAACAGAATCTGGTACTTGGAGGAGATGCCGATGGGAAACACTGCGAACACCATGTAGTGGACGCCAAACAGCGGGATGAGCAGCAGGGTGGACTTGGCCAGCCTCCTGCAACGGAAAGAGGGGTCACGCTTTGGCCAGCCGAGGGCCTCCCTACGCAGCCACACCTCCGCCCGTCCCAGGAGAGTGTGCACACGCAGGGGCGAGCCCCACTCTGCCCTGCAGAGCAGCAGAGCTCTCACGGGAATCGTGGCCAGTCGGAAAGGGCGGCACTGGTCTGAGCAGGTCAGACAGCCCTGTCCGTCCCTGGTTTTAGCAGCGGAGACCATCCCCAGCATCTGGAGGATGGGGCGAGTTTTAGTTTCAGATCCAAAGAGCAGGTGCTGCAGGGCTGCCCCTGGGCAAAAGCAAGACGGTATTCCCCTGACGGTCGTGGACAGGTCCTGCAGGTGACCCTGCTGGGGGGCTCAGAAGTCTCAGGAGTGGGAGAGCCTGCACCGGATCTCATTTCCCTGCCGGGGAGCTCTTACCCTCCTAACCAAAGAGCAGACTTTCTTCTCACTGCAGTGGTGTTGAAAGCAAGACAGCTGAACTCACTCCTACCTGCCCCCAAGCCCGTCCCACGCCCTAAGCAGGTACCCGTCATCTCCGCTAGGTCAGCGCTTCCCAGGCCCCAGCGCCGGCCCCGGCACCACCTGAGGCCATGCTGAAGCAGGCCACCTCTGACTCAGCGTCTGGGCCTCAGCCTGAGAAGCTGCTTCAGATGCACAGAGGCCTGCAGCTGCTGAGAGGAACTCCCTTGGAGAACCTGCCGTGAGCCAGGGCCTCTCACAGCTGCACCCGAGAGTCACTGGGGGGCTCTTCAGACTTGGAATCCAAGCTGCACCCCGCCCCCCCAGTTACATAAAGTCTCTGCGGGTAGACTGGCCTCTCCTCGGGGGAGTCCCCGTGGCTGTATCTGATGCAGCGACCCCACCACGTCTGATGGTCAGGAGCCCTGGGGTCACCTGGAGGCCGGGCGGGCAGGCAGGGGCTGGGCCCTCTGCAACCCCAGCTACCAGCCACCGCCCCGATGACCAGCCTCATCCTGGCCGCGTGGAGGGAGCCAAGGGAGGGCGCCTCTGGATCCTCCCCACCGGCTCTGCTAGGCTGGCGCCACCCAGCACTTGGGAAAGACCCTGATGCTGGGAGAGACTGAAGACGGGAGGAGAAGGGGAGGATGGAGGATGAGATGGTTGGATGGCATCCCCGACTCAATGGACATGAGTTTGAGCAAGCTCCGGGAGTTGGTGATGGACAGGGAGGCCTGGCGTGCCGCAGTTCATGGGGTCACAAAGAATCGGACACGACTGAGCGACTGAACTGAATTGAATACTGAGAAGTTACCACTTTGCTTACATATTTTGAAAAACCCGCAGAGTTCACAAGAAGGGGGTTCCTCTGTATTGGGTGATCTGCACGAACTCTGCCCCACCTGCGTGCGTGACTGGGGCGTCGCTGGGCAGGGGAGGCCTCGGGACCCCCCGCCGTCACGTGCAGGCCTGACCATCTGACCGCAGCACACAGCGGTCTCGCGGCCTTCAGCACTGTGGCCGGTGTCTGCCCAATGAGTGAGGCTGGAGTTCTGCAAGGAGTGGCCCGTTAGGCAGACGTCAGAGAGACCTGCCTGGAGTCCTGTCATTGAGACTCTGCTGGTCTCTAGAAAGGGGGCTTAGAGGCGGGACCCCTGGGGCCCTGTGCCTGGGGATCTGTCACTTCTGTTATGAGACGGAGACAGAAAACATGCCAAAATACAGGCAGGCGAGCATCACAGATGTGCTCTGCCTTTGTTATTCTGGAAAGAGTAGATTCTATTATCCCCACTTAATTTTGTTTCCAAAACAAAAGCATCCCTCTCTATAATCCACTTACGATCGCTCCCCAGAGTCCAAAGGAAAGGTCAAGGTGGCAGCGAGCGAGACCTGCAGAACCTGGGAGTGCCGGCGAGGGGCGGGCGGAGCTGCAGCTTGGGTGGGGCCGGGGGCAGCCAGGCAGGGCCGGCACAGGGGGATGCCTGCTATCTGTGGCCTGACCCCCACCGAGGGCCGAGCAGAGCCTGCCGCAGCCTGGGGCCCGGTCACGTGTGTGCTCCCACAGCCCATCACGGCACTTACTGGGGCCAGGCCGGTCATGTGTGTGCTCCCACACCCCATCACGGCACTTACTGGGGCCAGGCCGGTCATTTGTGTGCTCCCACATCCCATCATGGCACTTACTGGGGCCAGGCTGGTCATGTGTGTGCTTACACACCCCATCATGGCACTTACTGGGGCACGGTCACATGTGTGTGCTCCCACAGCCCATCACGGCACTTACTGGGGTCGGGCCGGTCACCTGTGTGCTCCCACACCCCATCACGGCACTTACTGGGGCCAGGCCGGTCACGTGTGTGCTCCCACACCCCATCATGGCACTTACTGGGGCCGGGCACTGAGCATCATCTGAAGACCCCCTCTATCAGTGCTCACAGCAGCCGCAGTGGCTGTTCTTACTCAGCATCTCCACAGGGGAGGAGGCAGGCGGGCACCTCCCCCGGGCCTCCAACTGGTGCAGAATACGCACTGGGCTGCCCACCTTGGGGGCCGCCACCTGAATGTCCCCCAGGCCACCCTGCGTCTCAAGGAGGGGCGGGCGGACGCAGTGAAGGGCCCGCCGTCCTGGGTTGGGCTGGTAGCCTCCTGGGGCCACCCAGCTTCGGGGGCTGCAATTCCAGCCCCCGTTTGCCTGAACCCAAGGCTGGACCAGCGGGACCAGCGCCTCCACACTGGGCCCGTTTTAGTTTACACCGAGTCGCAGGCTCTACTTGTTCTTTATGAATTCTTCATAGAGATTTACAGCATCTTCCAGTTCCTTTACAGAGTTCTCAGTCCTTGTTAATTAGCTGGATGATGGTGGGTGATCGCTTAAACCCTACTCTCTTTCCCATGAGGGAGACTATGATAACCACCTTCCCGTTATTATTCAGGCAACAAACATCAACTGAGTCATTATTAAGTACAAGGCCCACAAGAGGTGTTGCCTGGACCGTGTCGTCTGATAGGGAAGACAGAACCAAATATAAAATGCAAACGACATGTAGCCAAGGAGAAAAGGTCAGGATACAAAGCAGGAGAGTGAATAGAACACTTCAATTCCCAGCTCTCTAGAGGAGGTCCACACTGGAACGAAGGGAAGGACTCAGTCTGAATAATTGCCATGGTGATGCTAGCCCTTGGACAGTCACTCCATGTCCAGGGATCACCGTAAATTGGCCAAGGGCACGCTCCTGTGACTAAAGGAGAAGATGTGGGGTCATGTGTGGGTCCCCGAGCCCCAGTTTCTCTGCTCTCCACACAGGTCCTCCAAGTTATCAGGCTGCGTGAGGCTGGGGAGGGTGATTCCGAGTTGGCTCTAAACACATACTCACTTGTACTGTGACTGGTCGTTGCTGCCGACATCTGGGGACGTCAACTTCTGCCGTAAAATTCGTATAATACTAACGAAAAAGATGAAATTGACCTGCACAAAAGGAGATGACATTTCAGGGTGTGAAGTCCCCCTGCAAGGGAGGCAGCGAGGCCTGGATGTCTGCGGCTCAGCGCAGCCTGAAACGGGGCTCCGGGCCCTGCCGGCTCAGGAGCGCTAGCGCCTGCCCAGCTGGTGTCTGCTCTGCGGCATCACCAATGTGTTGGCCCCAGGCTGCAGCAGTTAAGTTGAGAACAGTCATTTTAAGGCGTGCAATCCACAGACGGAAATCCAGTTCAGATAGAAGGCTGCACACTTGGGAAGCTGACCGTGACCCCCCGCGTCTCCCTCTAGCCCTCCCCTTCCTCCTGACGGTGGCCGAGGCTCCGTGGAAGAGCTCAGCCTGGGATTCTTATCTCGGGAGACCGAGTAGAACGGGGCCATCTGCATTCACCACAGGGCTCTCTGCCCAAGGGCAACCTGGTGGTAACTCAGGTTTACACGCGGAAGTCACTTACTATAATAGAAATTAAAATCGGTGTTCGTATAACCCACCAAGGAACACTGTGGTCACTGGTGTCCCAACAACTATTGAAGAAACAGAAGGAAAATCACATTATCACGGATTCCACCTATAAACCAAGCACAGGAAGATATCACACACCTGTGGCCTCGCCCCTCACGCGGGGCTTTTGCCAAACAAGCCACCCCCACCGCCCACGACCAGTCCCCGACTCACAGGTTTGTTAGGTGGTCGCTCCTGACTGCCATGTGCGGTCTCCAGGAGGAAGCTGGGACAGCAGGCTGGTACAATGCCCCCCGATTCCCTGTGACCCACACCCCTCCCAGCAGAGCAGACCCACCCTCGTCCTGGAGCCTGGCTGGTTCCGACAGGGGGGTGTGGAGTCTGCGGAACTCAGTGTGGCCGTCTAGACCCACAGCCCCGGCCTCCCCTGCAGGGAGGTACCCACGGCGAGTGACTGAGCGAGACCGAGTGGGAAAGCTGCCCAGAGCCAGGCACAGAGGCGCACCTGTGTCAGCGCCAAGCCTGGGGCGTTTGTTACTGGCGGGGACCACTTAGGGGGCGGCCGGCGGACCTGGGCCTGCACGAGGCACAGCAGGGGCTGGGCTCCGCGGTGGGAGCTGGGGCTGCCTCAGGCTGGGCGCGGCAGAAGCCTCTGGGCCTGGCCCGGCCGCAGGGCCTCAGAGGGCTGAGCCTGGATGTCCTCCCGCTGGGCTCTGGGCCGCAGCGGTCTCCCTAAGACGCGGCTCCATCTCTGCCTGGCGGACGCCAGGCCCCGCTCCGTGGCCAGCCCTGGTTCAGCCCCACCTGCTCCATGGCCCCTCTCTGAGCTCCCCCGCCCTGAGTCCTCCCCCCACCCCCGAGTGTCCAGAGGCTGCCTTCTACCCAGAAACAAAGGTACCCTCCAGCTCCCCAGGACCTGTGTCAGCAGCGCTCCCCCTCGGCCACAGGCACTCACCCCGTGTCCTCCAGCAAGAGCCGGGCCGCAACCCACGCACCCGTGCTGACAGTGGGGATGCCTGCAGAGAGATGCCCGGTCACTCCAGCCCGGCACTGATCCTCCCGCTGGGCTCTGGGCCGCAGCGGTCTCCCTAAGACGCGGCTCCATCTCTGCCTGGCGGACCCCAGGCCCCGCTCCGCGGCCAGCCCTGGTTCAGCCCCACCTGCTCCGTGGCCCCTCTCTGAGCTCCCCCACCCTGAGTCCTCCCCCCACCCCCGAGCGTCCAGAGGCTGCCTTCTACCCAGAAACAAAGGTACCCTCCAGCTCCCCAGGACCTGTGTCAGCAGCGCTCCCCCTCGGCCACAGGCACTCACCCTGTGTCCTCCAGCAAGAGCCGGGCCGCAACCCACGCACCCGTGCTGACAGTGGGGATGCCTGCAGAGAGATGCCCGGTCACTCCAGCCCGGCACTGGCCACCTGGACCAGCCCGACGGGGAAGCACACGGGAGCCTTCGTGAGCCCCCTGCCAGCGGGGATAAGCGCTTTCTGATGGACAGATTAATGGAAACTCTTCATAAATACACACAGGCTTACCCTCACGCCTTACTAAGCAGCAAATGTAATTAAATACGTGTTTGAAGGCTTCATAGACCTGAAACGCATGTGTTTCTAGCTGTTGGTACCAACGTGCTAGAGACGCCGTGTCCCAACTTGGCAGAGACCCGAAGGGGCGCCCCTCACTGAGAAGGTGGGGGGTCTGCAGCTTCACCACTTTTCTGATTCCAGCTTAGGCAGAGCCCCGCTGATGAGCACATTAGCGGGACCTCACTGGGGACGGTCTCCCTGCTCCTTCTCCCAGGCCCCTTCTTTCTGATTCTGCCCCACCATGTCCCGGTTGGGGCTCACCCCAGGAACGAGAGTCACAGTGGTTTTAACCAGGTTTCAGGGCTTCCCTGGTGGCTCAGCTGGTAAAGAACCCGCACATCTGCAATGCGGGAGACCTGGGTTCAATCCCTGGGTCGGGAAGTTCCCCTGGAGAAGGGAAAGGCTACCCACTTCAGTAAGAATACTTAGAATTCCAAGGACTGTGTAGTCCATGGGGCTGCAATGAGTCGGACGTGACTGAGCGACTTTCACTTGCAATTTCTGGCTCCCAAAACATTAAGCTGCTGACTCTTCCTCCAGGGGCAGCCCAGCGTTTTTCTGAGCGGAGAGTCTCCGTGGGTAGGTCCGAGGGGCCAGGAACCAGGCACCTGGCAGGCAGAGGGAGTCCTTACCCCATCCGATCAGGAGGTAGGCCCAGAAGCGCCGGCCGGGGGCGAAGATGACCACGAGCAGGGTGTGAAGGTAAAGCCCCTCCACCAGCAGCCAGTAGAAGTTGGCCATGATGCAGTACTGGAAGAAGACCAGGCTCAGCTTGCAGCCCACCTGCATGGGAAGGGGCCGCGTGAGCGCACGCGCTGTCACAGGCCGCGGCTCTGGGTCCCCAGGCGGCCTGTGCGCGCGAGGAGCGCGGAGGTCCCGCCCGAGACCGGGCTCAGCTTGCAGTCCACCTGGACCAGGCGAGGGGCGGTGCGAGCGTGCGCGGAGGGCGACACGGGCCGAGCAGACACACACCACGCCCGAGGGGACAGTCGCCCTGAGTGGCCACGTGGGGCCCGGCCCCCCTCCTCCTGCCGCGTCGTCTCCACTAACCCTCCGCTCAGTCCCACTCCGTCCTCTCTCCGTCCTCACTGTGTACTCTTAACAAGAGAGGAGAAGTAAAGGAAAAAAGAAGAGAAACCCACCAAACACATTATTTCCTCCCGCGTTCAGAAAAGGGAAATGTAGGCTTCAAATCACTAAGGTTATATAAATGCACCGTAAACAACCCCCCAGCACTTTATTGCTATCATTCTGTATCTTTACAGCCTGCTCCCCAAATGCATATTTGTGGACAGACAGGGTGGATACACTAATACCGTGTGGATAGACCCACACGCATGTACTGGTGGCCAGGCAAGAAACGCATGGCGGCCTTTCAGGCGGGCGCCGGGCTGTGGGGAGCTCTGACCCCGTAGCTCCCGTTTCCTGGCACCAGGCTTCTCCTGCCGTTTCCTTCTAAGGCAGTTGAGGTTTATTGATGCCGAGTGTAGGGCTGGGGGTCCGGCATGTGGAGGACACCAGGGCTGGGCCCGGTAAGTGGAAAGAGGTGCGTAAAAACCCAGAGATGAGACCCTGGGACTGGCACCCCTTGTTGGAACAGTGACACAGGCAGGTCCGGGTGTCGGGGAGCAGGACCCCACGCCCGTGGGTGGGGGAGCCCACAGTGAGCATCCTGCACGTGCGGCGCCCACGGCGACCAGCTCTGCCTGTTACAACTTAAATACATGTGCCCTTCGCTGCCTCCAGACTCTCTCCAGTCTCCCCTGACCGAGTGGTGGCAGAAAACATAAACCAAGGTGTGTCTGTTACTGGCGGAACAGTCACACAGACTACATCACGTCTTCTAGATTCAAAGGACTCAGAGTTTCCAAGATAAACTGTAGAAGGAGGAAAAAGCACAAAGTGTGTTTAAGATGATTCCAATTCCTTCTTCCTGGTAAAATGTTTAAAATGCCATGTCTGCACTTCTTCCCCGTGGCTCATCTGCCATCAACACACTCCAAGGGCAGAGGCTCCGGGGTGAGGGGCTGTCTGCTGACCTTCAGTCGTGGGAAGGCTGAGAGGCCAGCGGCCAGGACTGCACCCTGCCTGGTGCCCAGCGGGTCCTCGGCCAGTCCTGTCCCGTCTGGGAGCCTCTACCACCCATGGCAGCCAGGCCAGGCGTGCAGGGCGCTGAGCCCCAGGGTCCGCAGGAGGTCCTGCTGAAAGTCAAGCTTCAGGTGGCCCTCGGGTCGCTTGTTCACTGCAGCATAGTTTCCACAGTTTAGATGAAACCCAAACCAAGAAGTGCGGAGAAGGAGGCGTCCGTGTGAGTGTGGGCTGGCCTCGGTAGGGATGGGAGCCGGGCTCTGTCTCTAGGCCCACTTTACGAGCCAATAAAGCTGGCTTCTTTGAGGCCCACCCCCTCGAAAAGGACGAGAAAACTGCACCCACGTTCATGACTGTCAAAGCCACTGTCAGGGGTCACACTGGAAACGCCTGCCTCTCGGGCCCTATGGGGACAGAAGGCATTTCCCTACGGTGCTGGGGAGACTTGCAGCGTCCACAGGTGCAAAGAGCAAGCAAACAGGAGATCTTACGTAAACATGAGGGCTGGGGAAGGAGGCTTTGCCACCTCTGTGGGCCTGGAACCCAGAGCCCTCACTGCTTAGCGAGCAGCAGAGGTGAGGGCTGTGGCCACTTGTGTGGTTTCGTGTCTGTGTGCCAGCACACTCACGGACGTGGGCTCCCCCAGTGCTGCTCAAAGCCCCTGTCCTCAGAGCTGTCCTTCCAGGGTTGGAGCCAAACCTTCTCGATGGGACGGAGTGTGAAGAGTGTGTGTGCCAGGGTGTGAGCACATGTACACGTGTGTGTGTTGACGGGCTCTGCTAACTTCCCTTCCTCCTGCTCCCTCTCCCCCACTAACCTGGACTGTGGAGCCCAGGACCCTCAGCAAGGTCAGGCCCCCGGTCCAGCCTCCTGCCCTCCTCTGTGGGACTACCCCTCTTCAGATGTTTCAGACCTCTGAGTTTGCCCCCAGCGCCCCAGGCAGGTGGGACTCGGGGCAGGGACACCCAAGTTCCTGGCGCCCCCCCCCACCCCGTCCCCCACCTCCCTCAGCCGGGAGCCAGCCAGGTCCTCTGTCTACACAGCATGAGAGCATTCTGCTCGGGTCAAGGGCCTGCTGTCCGTGGGTCCATCAGGTTCACTACGCCTTTAATGAAGGAGGAGCTAAGTAAGGAGGGCTCCTTGGAGCAGAGCTCTGAGTAAGGCGGGGAAGCCACCCAAGATTTCTCAGTGGGAGGAGAACAGGGTCTCCCCACTCCTGGCCTCTGGGGGACCCCCATCTGTGCAGAGGAGACTCCATCCTGGGACAAAAGCCCAAGGCTCCCCTTCCACCTGGGTGGGACGTCCGGGTGGAGGGCCATGCTGCTGATTTTACTGTTGCATTCAGTCCCCACGCCTCACAGCGGGACTGTCCCCAGGGGTATATTAACCTGTGGCTGGGAAGCGGCTGAAGCTATACGGCGTGCGAAAGGCTTTATAGTCTTAGAAAGACCCTGACTCAGACCTCTTCCTCTTCCGAGAGGAAGGGAATCAGCAGATGGGTCCATCCATGCGGGATGTGGGCGGAGAGCCAGGTCTGGCACCTCGTGTAAGAGCTGATATCAGATCTGACCCGGCGCCGTGAGGAACCCCGGAGGAGAGGAGCACGGCCGGCGGTGTGCTCAATGAACGCGCCAAACTGAGCTTCGTCCTAAAGGCCCGCTAGGTCTGNGGGGGTCATGGAAGAGGGACGAGATGGAGAGTTAAACACTTCAACAGACACCCGTGTGGCTTTAATCTTAAAGCTTCTTTTTAATGGAAGTGAACAATGTTGGAGAAGAGTCTTGAGAGTCCCTTGGATTGCAAGGAGATCCAACCAGTCCATCCTAAAGGAAATCAGTCCTGGGTGTTCACTGGAAGGACTGATGCTGAAGTTGAAGCTACAATACTTTGGCCATCTCATTCGAAGAGCTGACTCATTAGAAAAGACCCTGATGCTGGGAAAGATTGAGGGCAGGAGGAGAAAGGAACGACAGAGGATGAGATGGTTGGATGGTATCAACGACTCAATAGACATGAGTTTGGGTGGACTCCGGGAGTTGGTGATGGGCAGGGAGGCCTGGCATGCTGCAGTTCATGCGATTGCAAAGAGTCGGACACGACTGAGCAACTGAACTGAACAATTTAAGTATTCCTTGCATATTTAAGATGTTTTCAGCTTTGCATTATGGTACACATTTTTGTGTATCAATATTGCCCTTTATTTCTGACTTTGTGCCTTAGAGCAAAGTCCTAGAAACAGGATTTTGGGATAAATGTATACAGCACAGCCATGGTGTGTCTGAGCCTGCAGAAGGACACCCCACATCACAGATGTGAACACCACGCGTCTCTGCAGCAAACTTCCTGCAAGACCCACCTCAAACAACCTGTCTTTGAACTTAACTTTATGTAATATTTGCTTCTTTAAAACATGTTAAGAACATTTTGTTTATAATCATTTTACGACACTTAAATTCTGCTTTGGAGAAGACTTAATTAGATATTTGATTTAACTCTGACTTTTAATTGTTTGGAGACAAGCTGTTCCTCACAAATGTACTTCCAAGATCGTTAAACCATTACATTAATTCCTTAAGTTGAAGTAGAGTTTACAAATTTCAAGGACATTAACAAACATATTCTAAGCAGACTTGCACCTGTGGCTCCATAGAGAAACTTACCTGACCTCCCTCGCATGTCAACTGTGATTTAGAAAGCTGTCTATGGAGCTCTGGGGGGCAGCTGCGGCGGCTGGGACCTAGAGGACTGGGGCCCAGGTGAGGAGGGAGCGCGGGCACTGCAGCCCCCTCTCATCTCCTGGCTGAGGGTTAATCCAGGTTTCAGGGCACAGCGGTGATTAGAGAGCAGAGGCCCAGAGCTCGTGACAGCGTCCCCGGACGGAGCGGACAGCAAAAGACGCTAAGGGCTTCCAAGGCAACAGGGTGGAGGGAAGGAAGCCACAGGGAGCCTCAGACTCTGCAGGCAGCAGGAGGGTTTCCTTCTCTTTCTTCCATTTCCCAAGGTGCTCATGTGTTGGATGGGTAGAAGGATTCCTAGGTTTTCATCTTAAACCCCTAAAGAGCTGTGACTTAGGAATAATGACAAACCAGCCTTCAGAGAGCCTAAAACGCGGCCTTAGATTGACTCAATCCCTGCCTGGCTCAGGCTTGTCTGCCCATCTTGCTAGAAAGAGTAAATCCTCTCTATGGTAAGATACCATCTAAAGCCTCTATGATTTAATTATATGTAACTTCAATAATCAATTAATAAATATGCCAGAAATAGTACCAAATGATCAAATGCAGTTAACAATGGAAAAACAAAAATAAACCAGAGACTAGAAAGAGATCCAGATACTGGCATTTTAAGACATGACTATAAAATGGCTCTGATAAATATAGCCAAGAAAATTAGAGGATGGTGACCTAATAAATATTTCCCTTTACTTCTGACTGAGAGCCGAAGAACTGATGTTTTTGAACTGTGGTGTTAGAGAAGACTCTTGCGAGTCCCTTGCACTGGAAGATCAAACCAATCAATCCTAAAGAAAATCAGTCCTGAATATTCATTGGAAGGACTGATGCTGGACCTGAAACTCCAATACACTGGCCACCTGATGTGAAGAACTAACTCACTGGAAAAGACCCTGATGCTGGGAAAGATTGAAGTCAGGAGAAGGGAAAGACAGAGGATGAGATGGTTGGACGGCATCACCAACTTGATGGACATGAGTTTGAGCAAGCTCCCGAAGTTGGTGATGGAGAGGGAAGCCTCGTGTGCTGCAAAGAGTCAGACACAACTAAGTGACTGAAATGATACTGATTAGAGGATGGAATTAATT